CTGGAAGAGCAGTCAGTGCTCTTAACCACTGAGCCATCTCTCCAGCCCCGGAAAGTCTTTTTAAAAGTGCATTTGTCAATGCCTGTGTGCTAAATGTATCAACATCCAGGTGTGTCTTCTTTTGAGGTCCTGAGTGATGGTGTGGACAGTGACATTCTCCTGAAGAGATTCCTTGACATCTGGCTCATCAGAAGCACGTCAGCTTCTGTGCATTGCAAAAGCATGAGACCAACTTCCTAGTTCCCAAACTTCCAGAAGAGTCCATGGTCCTGCCTTTCCCTTGTGGTTCCATTCTCTGGCCTCAGCAATCCCATCTGTACAGTGGGTTCTCTGACTTCATTCTCCTCAGTCACAGAAAGTCAGAAAGCTCTGAGCCAGTGTGTGCCTGGGAAGGATGCTGTGCTGGCTAAGCAGCAAGCAGCTTGTAGTGTGGTTAAAGAGCAACAGCCTTCTCTACCACACAGCAATTCCAGGCCTCTTGCTTTGCAAGTCAAGTTGTATCCACATCTGAGTTCTGGACTGTCTTAGAGAGTGAATGTCTAAGGCACAAGTGTGTACTTTAAAGACTAGAACCAAACAGAATCCTGCCTCCCAGGTAAAGACCGAGTCCCTGGGATTAAGATGACATTTAGACGTCATCCCTGGTTGAGCTTAGCCTTGTCCTGGCTCAAGGGAGCTTCCTATGAGCCAAAACAAGGATGGATAAAGCTGGCTCCAGACTTCCAGAAGGACAGTGGATTCCCTCATTGTTTACTGAGGAAAGTAAACACAGACTGGCAACTTCTGAGTCACACCAGAAGTCCCCTGAGAATCTAGGACTGAGACAGAGTCTCCAGATGATAGGGCTTCAAGGACTTGATGATCATCAGCCCCTGATGTCCAGACTCCAGGGAAACTCACCACAGGGAGGCAGGTGACCCTCTGAACTGTGCTCAGCAGAAGACTGCTCCGTCTTCACCATGGCTGTTCCCTCTCCCACAGCTCCCTTGCATGCCTTCGAATCCCCATTCTAACTGCACGAACTGTGAAGATCAAAGCAAAGAGATGGAATTCACTCTTGGGCAACAGCACCTACCAGCATTTGTCTACTCGTGGGCAGAGAAGTCCTCTAATACTGAGGCCTGGGTTGTGTGACACACAGAGACCCCTGTGGTTCAGCTCCTCTGAGCCTCTCCAAAGCTCAGACACCGCCAGCCTTCCCTCATGTGGTGTAGGAAGCTAGCCCCATATGTTTTAAACCAGAAAATGTGCTTTGTCAGGAGGGCTCAGTGAGTAACTTTGTACAGTGGCCGTTGTAGCAAGGCATCCCGAGGCAGATTTAGTGGGAGATGCTGTACCAGATGGACCGGGCAGCTTGCAGACTCTGATTAGCACATCTGGAGACACCCACTGCTGTAGGCCTGGAGAAGTGCGTCTCAGGATTCGAGTAGTTTCCAGTCAGCGCCAGGCATGACTGATTTATGCATTTTACAGATTCATCACGTATGGACGGCCCCAAGCAAGATGACTTGCAATTCTTCTGACTAATAAGGAAGCTGAAGCCCAGAGGGAAAGACTCTTACTCAAGGTTATACAGCGATGTCTAAACAAAGTTTGTAGTCCAGAGGGATAGATCCATCTTTTGACCTACTAATATTTTGAACTATTACATTTCATACCAGAGAAACACACTCCCATGTGCTTGTCTTTGCTTCCTGCAGATTCATTTGCATTCCCAGTTCCATCAGCAACAGAATAAACAAAAGACTAACCTGAAGCACTCAAATTGAAGAAGCATACCCAGAAGAGGAGATCCATTCTCCTATTGCTCTCACAGAATACCTGAGAAAGGGTAATGTATAGGAAATAGAGGTTTATGTTGACCGTGTTGCTCTCAAGTTCAGGACGTCTAAAAGCATGAAGCTAGTACCTTCTTGGCTTCTCTGAGGACCTCACGCTATATCCGTGTAAGAGGGAAGCAATGGAGCAGGATGAGGCTGCCATTCAAAGGGAGAGTAATTGCCTTGCATGCACAAGGAGAGAGAATCTAGCCACAGCAAAGGAGGGCAGAGAGGAGGAGGAGAAAGGAGGGGAGGCAGGGAGAAAGAGAGAGGAAGAGAGGGGGAGAATTTTAATGGAGGGATATTTGGGTGGGAGGGAGAGAATCCAGAACTGCAGATAGTTGAAGCTCATGTATTACACCAGGCCTGTGAGGCAGCGGGCTGCCTAAAGTTCCCTGCATGAGTCTGCGGAAGTGTAGAATAGAGAAAGCTAAATTAAATGGGCCTCCCCACTGTGCTGTTAGTAAGCGGTAGAGCCAGGGTTCGAATCCTGTCCCTCCCTCGGATTCAGATCCCGCTGGTTCCCATAATCCCACGCCACAGTGGCATCCTTGCTAATGCTGAGAGAATTGCTGCCATCTTGCTTTTCACGTTTATACCAGGGTATGCTGTGCCCGTGACTCCAAGGCTGAATTTACTCTTACTGATTTTCTTCTCTTGATGCTAGGGAGGGAACACATGGCTTTGTGTAATCTATGCGGGAACTCTTCCCCTGTGCCTCAGCCAAAGCTAAGGCCAAGGACGGTGCTCATCTCCGGTTCCTGGCGGCCTCTGCTGCACCCAGCTCAAGATGCTTCCCAAAGACTATGTGTATGTCACTGAAGGTAGTTTGTGGAGATGCCAGGAGTCTCAGAAATGACTGCTGGATGAAGCCTTGAAGCTTTGCCCCGGCTGAGCCCTTTCTCCACTAGCATACAAAAAACATTTCCAAAGGACTAACCTTTCCTAATAAAATAATCTCAATAAGACATTTCAGCAGGGGAATTATTAGATATTAATTCATGCCTAGTTGCACTGACAGCTTCGGCCGTCAGTGTTAGCCTAATAGCACGCTAGGAGAGAATTACTATGCCATAATTCACGCTCTGTCATGCATTATTGCTTAAATAAGATACATGAAGAATAACCTATTCTGGGGAAATAACTGGGATTCTCAGAGTTCTCCTGGCCAAGTTATAAATAGTTACGTTTGGATCCAGAATTTTTTTTTGTATTACTAAATTTGAAATAAATTGCATATATGTATCCTCAGCTATAATTACTGTGAACATTTTTCCTAAGTACTAACATTAAGTTCAGTCATATTCCATGTTTTAAAATTGAACTTAAGCAAAATTATGCCATTTTTCTGGAGACTAAAATAGACATTTCTTACCTCCGTGTATAACTGTATCTAGTGCACGGCATGATGTGGCTGACGAAGAAGGCGTAAGAGCAGTTAAATGGAGTTGACTGAGGAAGGGACAAGATACAACAGAGTCCCAGGGGCTTTGTGGTGTTCTGCTGGTGCTCCTGGAGATGAGACTCCTCTGAAAGCTGCTGTTTGCCCCGGGAGCTGGGGGTTAGGGGTGCACAGAGGGGTGAGAGGCTGAAGCCCAGAACCTCCTGGAAGGAACACTGTTTGGTTTGAACCTGAGTGTCCCCAACCTGTTCCTGTTTTGAGAGCTTGTTCCCCAGCTGGGGAGGCTGAGGAACCTTTAGGAGGTAGGATCTGGTTGGTGGGAGTAGGTCATCCTCTCTGCTTCCTGTCGGCCATTACATTAAACAGCCTCTGATGCAGCCTCCATAGACAGAGCCACTGGCCTCTGCCTTCCCTGTCGTGGTGGACTGCAACTAAGATCATGAACCACCAGAAGTCTTTCCTCCCTTGTCATGTTTCTCGGGCATTTTGTCACAGGATTGCCAAAGCCTCTAAGACAGCATGAGACTAAATGATAAACTCGCTTGTCCTCACAAGGTAGTGCTGAAGGCCCAGAGACACAAGAAATACCACAATGTGGCCCGAGAGGGAGCAGAAGCCACACAGGTAAATTGTTCACAAGATCATTCACTAGTTTGTCTTGTATTTCTTAAGAACCTCCTCCATGATAGTCGCTGGGCTGACCACTGAGCACACAGAGAAGCTGGGAATCCCAGGTGTGAGACAAACACTCAAGTGTGATGCCATTCAATAAAGGCAAAACCACGGTGGCCCGGGCTCGGCAGAGTGGGGCCTATCTCAGTCTAAAGATGTGAGGGGATCAAGAGAAGCTTCATAGTAGAGGTGATGCTGAGAGAGAGGACCCCTGAAAGGTGAGCAAAAGCGCTTGGAGGAGTAAGGGGTGAGGTCAAGAGAGGAGGTAACAGGAGGCAGTAATGGAGGAGACAGGCCATGGAGGCACAGACAATGGCAGATCTCATGGAACATGATAAGTTACATTGGCTTAGTTTTGAATTCAACTTAGAGAATGATCTATGAGGCCAGGACTGGGACAAGGAGGGCTTGAAGGGAAGAGGCTGGTATTAGCCTGAGAGTTGATGATGTATTTGAGGTCTGGGGCTCAGTTGAAGAAAAGTGTGGCTGGATTCCAGGACATGCCAGACACACACTTTGGTAAAGCTAGACCACCAGAGGCATAGAGATATGAGAGAGAATTGTCCCAATTTCTATGTGTTTTAAAGCTGCCGCGTACAAGGAAAATGGCAGCAAGTCTCCGAATCCTTCTTCGGGCTGATCGGTATTTCTTGCATCGGGAAGTGTTCCGCTTTAGTCATCCAGTCAAACAAGTGACTTTGAAGGCAGAGATTAGCTATCACACTGGTCACGGTTCCCAGCTATCATCCCAGACCTCAGGTGTTCTTGAAGAACTCATAAAATGTGCAATGATCAGTTGCATAGTAGGTTTCTTATTTCCCAAGTGCAGGGATCAAGCCTAGAGCCTTGGGCCTGCTAGGCAAGCACTCAATCCCTGAGCAACAAGCCCCTAACATAGCAGTTCTCAACCTTCTCAATGCTGCCAGCCTTTAGTACAGTTCCCCTATTCTGGTGACCCCTAGGCACAAAATTACTTCATTGCTATTTCATAACTGTAATCTTGCTCCTGTTATGATTTGTAAAGTAAATATTTGATATGCAGATGGTCTTAGGCAACCCCTGTGATAAGGTCATTCAACCCCTAAAGGGGTCACGATGTACAGGTTGAGAACTGCTGCGTCACGCTTGTAAGTAAATATATTTCTGTTTTCTTTACTAAATGTTCACCCAAAAGAATGCTTAAATCACTTGCATAAGTGGACTTTGTCTCTTCTTTGCTACAAAAAGAAGAAAACATGAAAGTCAGCTTTAAGAAAATAACGGAGTCCTGAAAATCTAGCGGTGGACTCTTGCCCAGTGAGATCTACTCTCCTTTTGTTAAACAGACACGAATAAGTTTGGGAAGTTTTCTGTGTTAAAGATTTATCCATACCAAGCCTTTCTGTTCATTTCCATAGGATTTGAAGAAACCTGAAAATCAGAGAATCATTTTCTCACTGTGTGATTCAGGGCTTAGAGGTTGACTGTCTCTCTGTATGACCCAAAATCAGCCTTCAAAGTAGTCCTGATGCAGAAACAGCTCCTTCCCAGCTATGAGTCACCTGGGCACAGAGGTTAGAGGTAAGAAACTGTACTTCTCCCAGTGTGGAGCAGATGGAAGTCATCTTGGGCCCCTCTGACCCATCTTCATCTGCTCCCCCAAGCCTTTCTCAGCTGCCTCCATCTTCCTGGGGAGATTCTAACTCAAGAGTCTTTTTTTTTAAAGATACAATTTCATACTTTAGCTCTAGCTCTAGGCATCAGCAACCTTCCTGTCTCAGTTTTTCAAACAATGGGATTGTAGGCGTGAGGCATACTGCCCTGCTGAGACACTTTTGTAGCCTGCTAGAGCCCCCACGGTCTATTACAGGCTGACACCAAGGTCTTGTGTCATTTGCTGTACAACTAGGTGGAAGGGACTTCTCAGGCTGTTGGCTTTTAAGGTTCTCTGGTACTACATGTCGTTTGATATTTGAGCAAACTCGCTTTGGTGGGGAGAGGATGGGAGACTAGAGGATATTGCATGAGGACCCCTGTCAGGTTTTAGAGATGAGCAGCACAGACATTAGGCTCCTGTACCTTTGAATGTGCCCATCCTGGGCCCCCTACTCCCTGAGCTCCTGCACTGCCACTAGGAGGATCTGTGCAGGGTGCAGCAGGGAAAGGTCTCCCTTGCCTCCTCCCCTCTCCGGCTTGTCTGAAAAGGATGCAGAACTGTCAATTGTCTCCTGGTTCTGTTACTCTGCTCATCCAATCAATCTATATGAAAAGAACAGATTAAATTGAGCGAACCTCATATATTTAACGATTGCGGCTATTTGACCAGGGTGAGCTGCTCAGGAAGTGCCTGTCACAAGCTATTGATAGTCTTTAATCCCGATTGCCTAGTGTTGAGCTTGCTTTCTGCTCAAGATGGCGGGTGATTCCTGAGCTTGCAGCAAGAAGACAAGGTGCCAGAGACCTTGTCTTCATGTTCGAAGATTGAGTTTAATTCCTGGGCTGTAGATTTGTGAGCAGACAAAGCTTCATGCATATAGAACCTTTCTGGCTTTTCGTTTTACCCGTGTAATTTCTAGGAAGGTCTCTGCTAATTAGACTGGGCACTAGGAAGTTCTTAAAGCAAAGAACCTTCTAAATATATCATGTTGTGCCATGCTGTTACCTTTGTAACATATTGTATCCATATTAGGAGCTTCCTCTAGCTACCTCTTTTTACAGAGTAAAGGACACGAAAAAGTGTTATCTTTTGTCTCTACTTTGAGATGAGGCTCTTGAGGCTCAGAAAGGTCGAGGAACATTCCTGAGACCACACAGGTCGCCCATGGCAGGTTAGGATGCCCAACCTTACAAAAGATAGCAAATACTAAATGACTCAATACAGTGACTATAAGTCCTGAATGCTGTGTGACAGCGGTATACTCGGTGATAAATTGTAATTTTATGCCAGGTTTATATACGGAAGCCTTTGGTTTCACTGTCTCTTTGCAATCTTGGGGGCGGGGGACATAGACGGCCCAAAGCATATTTAGTAATATTTTAGGGATACTGTAGTCTATTCAACTGCTGTAATAACAGGCCATGGACTCATGGCTTACCAACAGAAATGTATTGTTCACAGTCTGGAGGTTGGATGTTCACAGTTAAAACACCAGCATGGTTGGTATCTGGTGAGGGTTTCCTTTCTGGCCCACAGGTAGTGCCCTTTGACCATGCTGTCACACAGCAGCAGGGATAAAGGGGCTCTCTAAGGTCTCCTTTAAATACATGCATTCCATTTGAGAAGTCTCCACTCCCATGATATAACGGTGTACCTCTAAAGGTCCTATCTCCTAATCCTAACCCCATGGAAGCTGGGATTCAGTCCATCGCACACATTCACTCGATCATGTGAACTTCCACCTTCTCCCCCTTCCCCACGTGCTCCTCCTGCTTTTGAACAGTCAGTCCCTAGAACTTCAGTCTTACCACCACTGACTCAACTAGTACGTCTGCTCATCAACTAGTGCACCCACTCACTCAACAATCTGTTAGTACAGGCCGACCATCCGTCAGCCAGTGCTAGATAAAAGAAAAGCCAGCACATCTGTGCCTGGAGACCCCGCAAGGAGCTTTTAGTAAGCGCATCAGCATAACTCCAATGCCAGGTAAATCTGGTGATAGGGACCTGGCAGGCTATGGTGGCACCCAGACAGAATGCTTGTCAGGGAGAACCATGGAAAGGGTGGGGTTTTCATTAAACCTTAAAGAACAGTGACCAGAGGAGAGTGGAGGAAGGCCACCCATGTCCACCATCATTCCTCTTTGTTATCTCCATCCGCTAGGAAACCCTGGCTAAGGTTTCTGCTATCTCCTGCCTGTTAACCCTCTCTGTGTTTTACTTCTGTGTTTACTGCCTCCAGCCTCAATTCCATCTAATGTTGTCTCCCAAAAGGAGCTTTCCGAAGGTCGAAGCTGGCCTGCTTCTTTAGGGACAATGGTTTGTCTCTTCTGCTGCTTTAGACTTGTTGGTGCCTGGCAGTGAGACATGGTGGGCAGCGGGGAAAGAAGGGGGTGAGAGCCCTAGGGAGTGAAATTGGTTGGCTTCCATCTAGAAGGTGATAGGCATTCATGGAGAATAGAAAACATGGCTGCAGTAGTAGACAGTAGCTAAGACTATGGCCACAGGCACCAGGGAGAGGTTTAAGACACCTAGCTCATTGAGAGCCTGCCCACGATGGCTAGAAGATGTCTCTCCTTCTTAAGTTTCTAAGCCCTTATCTGTTCAGTTGAACTTATCCCAGAAGGTAGCTGCCAGGCTATTGGAGGAGGCATCTTCATGCTACAGTCAGGCACACCATAAGACTAAATAACCATTAGCTTCTTTAATAAGTCTAACACTTCGGAAAGCTCCTTTTGGGAGACTACACCAGAAGGAATTGAGGCTGGAAGCAGGAAATGAATTAAAACACAGAAAGGGTTATCAGGTAGGAGGTAGCAGAAACCTGAGCCAGGGTTTCCTAGTGGATGGAAATAACAAGGAGGACTGATGGTGGACATGGGTGGCCAGCACTGCTAAGCAGATGAGGGAGAAGATACTGGTCCGAAGTGCTCAATGGTCCATAGGGAGAGGGAGACCTCATTGCTCTGAAGGTGCTTGGGAAGCTGGGGCTGGCGTTCCCTCATAGGCGTTAGAAACTCAACTCCACCTGAAGCATAATTGCTTCGTGGCCATGTTCCTTAAGAAAGACAGGTCTAGAAAATCCAGCATGGCCTTCGAGAAGGCCCTCTAAGGAGCAGGTGACAGCTCCTCCCACAGGCTCTAGGACTTCTATGGGGCAGTCAGTTTGTAATTGTGGGTCAAAGGGAACATTTGACGTGTGTAGCCTACATCGGCTAGGTTATGAGCAGTCTCATCTCTGTTGCCAACTGGCTTATTCATGAATGGATGGATTCTAGCCTGTGGGGACAGTCCCGGGGCCTTCTGGTTTGTCTTTAGTGTCTACAGAAACAAGATCTTGCCTCCTAACCCATGTGGATGGGGACATCTGATAACAGAAGTGAGCCTCAAAAGGGACCCATGAAAATCCTTCCTTCTACTTGGAAAGTTTCTCTTATCAGCAGGCTGATACAATTTTAGCTTGGCATTGGCTCCTGGCTTCTGAACACACAGTGTCAGAACCCTGGGCCCTGAGAAGGAGGAGACCCAGGCCTTCTACACATCTTCTTTGCCTCATTCCACCCCAGCCCACTCCTGCCTCCAACGTCTGGTCCATGTGCTATAAGAGGATAGTATAAAATGCCAAGTTACTTTAAAAAGAAAACAATACGCCCTGCCTGGAAGATCTGACTTGGGGACTCATCCAATAGTGGATAACAGTGCTCAACTGGCTTTTGTTGGTTTGGACATGTCACCTGCCTAAAGTCTTAGGGTCCCCATCTGCTGCTTGGTGTCACCCATCCCCTCTCCTGACTGCATTTGTCTTAATTTATCTTCATTGTATTGTAGGAATCTACAAGGAACTCGCCCGAGGAACGTGGAAAGACAGTGGTTCTTCTCTCTCATACTTCCTTTTCCTGAAGCAAGGAGGTGGGTCCATGCTAACCTAAGGATTGGAGAGGATTTTTTTCCGGCTGGTGTACGTGATCCACTGAAGTAGCACAAAAATCTTTTCCTCTTTCACTGAGGGAAGAATGAGCCCCACCCCCTGCTTTGTTTTGAAGTGACTGTCGTTTCCTAGCTAGGGACTTTGACCTTGTCCTTAAGCAAAGGCTTTTAGGTGATCTTATGATCCAGGTCACCCTTCCCATCCACCAGACAATGGATGGACCAAGGAATTCCTACCAGAGTTTGCCTCTTTCAGTTGACAATCGAGAGGGCCAGCAGGTACAGAGGTCTTGCTCTTGTCCACATTGGAGTTGTATGTTGCTGGGCTCTTCATCCACTGCTTCAGCAGGACCCACCCACACTGGAGTTTTGGGTCCCTGTCATCCCAGTTTTAACTCTGTAATGAACTCTGTGAACCATTCTCATCTGAATCTGCCTCCTGATCTCAGCACTATGGACACTTAAAGCAGGCTGGCTCATTTAGGACTATTCTGTGCTTTGTCAGATGCTTAGAACTCCTTTCTCCTTCTCTTGATGGCAGCAGGAGCTCTCCACACCTGTAGACCCAGACGCATCTCCAGGTATTCCAGGTATCCCCATGGTGATAGGAAGGAGTGACTATCCTCACTGAGATCCCTAGTCTGGAACAGTACAGCAAGGGCTGGGCCTTCCCTGTCTCTTGCTGTCCTGTCCTTGGGTCTAGCCTATGTATCATCACCCTGTGACACACAGTAGGTGTATAGAATCAATGAATGACATAGTAGGAGACATGGCAAGTTTCAGAGACAGATGAAGCACCCTCTGATTGAGAAATATTTGTTAGTCACTGTGGAGTGCCAGGTTCCTATGGCCTGAGAGTACATGGCAGAACAAAGCAGTCGGGGCGGGGACCTGGGGACTTCCTTACATCTAGTGAGCATGGCGCTGTGGAAGAAGATATGCAGTCATTCAGCAAGATAATTCCAGCAATGAGCAACACTGTGAGGAACATGTCAAGAGGATCAAGAGCAGAGAATGAGTTGGAGAGAAGGAGGTGTCTTAGAAGTCAGGTGTGTACATGCATGTGTGTGGGGGGGGTATCTTAGAGAGAAGCTGGAATGTGAGAGGTGTCTTTGATAGACGTGACAGTTGGGAACACCTCCATTGGCAGGTGAACTTTGAGCAGACACTAAAGCTGGTAGAAACACAACACTACTTACTCCATGTTTCCTTTCTGCCAATCACCAAGAGTTGACACTTAGTAGGCACTCAGATGCCTGTTGCTTGCTGGTGGGTTCTCTCCTCTGTATGCTGCAAACACTCATCCTTTGAGCTCTAGAGTAAGTTCTAGAAACTCTATCCTGCAGAGTGTGAGCGTGTAATGTCAGGGACCGTCTGAGTCCCTGAGCCACCCTGTCTCCGTTTGGTTCTGTTTTGACAAAGAGAGTTTCTGTGAAATGAACGGAGCAATGATCTCCCCCCCCCCCAAATCAATCGTTTAATCAAGAATCAGTCATCACTGTCATTTAAAACCTGAAACTGCATCTATACACCCTGGCCATTCCCCTGGCCAGGTGTGAACTGCAGAACGGATGGCTGGGGCAAATATGTGAGCTCCTCTCCCCTGAAAGTCGGCTACCTTCCTGATCAAATGCACCCAGAGGAGGGGGTAGTGTTACTATTGTGCCTCGGTAAGAAGGTCCCATCCGGCCCCCACCCCGTTGTGGGGGAGGAAGAGGAGCTTAATCATTACTAACACTAACTTGCCTTTCTGGAGCCTTGAAAATGAGAATTTTGCCCTTTTTTTCCCTGTGAGTAAATTGGGTCAGAGTGTTCCCAGAATTTACATTTCAATTAAAAATACAATAATAACACATTGTGCAAATAGTGAATGATTCCGACCCAAGGGAAGATGACACCGCCTGCTACTTTGTTAATGAAAAGCCCCCTTCACTGGGACAGGCCACACAGTAGCAGTAACAAATCTCCTGTCTTGTTCTGGGCATGGGGGGAGGGTGGGGATGAGGAGGTGATCGAGTCACCACCGCCCTGTGGGGACCTCCAGGCCATAGTAGCACCACCCAAAGCAACACACTCATTGTTTCTGCCTGCCCCGTCCATCCTCCAAATGCAAACATGACTGCTTTTTTCAAGGCTTTAGGGTTGAGGATGTAGCTTGCTTAGCTTGCGGGAGGCCCTGGGTTTGATCTCCAGTTTTGCATAAAACTAACTGTATTCCCAGACCTGCAAGGTGGAGGCTGGAAGAGTATAAGGCCCAAGCGATGTAGGAGACATTGTTTGTGTGTGTGTGTGTGTGTGTGTGTGTGTGTGTGTGTGTGTGTTTTAAAGTTTGCCTTGTATTGAATTTGCTATTCTAAGCAATGACAGAGGGCATCCAAGCTGCTCCTCCGGCCTTTGTAGATAGATTGAACTTTTAAAACGCCTCCTATTAGCCTCTCAACCTAGACCTAGGCCCCTGAAAAGGAGCCTAGAAATTCCTGGTTATGACACTTTGAACCTCCACCCTCATCCCCACCTCATGCCTCACTGATTGTTAAAGTTGGCTTTAAAACTCCCCAGATTTATGATTTTATCCTGACCCAGAATGCTTGGGAGGGAAGGGGAATGGTGTGGGCAGGTGGGGACCTTAGAGGCTTGCTCTGGGGAACACAGGAAAGGAGGTGTCTGTTTCTAAAGGCACAGGTGGAAGAACTTACATCATAGGTTGGTTCTGAAAGAGAAATATCCTGGCTTAGTTCCACAGAAAAGGAAGTTTTGGTGGGAGAAAGACTATCCTTCCCCACAACCTCCTCCAGTTGTAAGGGCTTTAAAAGCACCTAAGGACTTTAAAAGCAAGGGCATCTAGCTGTACATTACAGGCGTGGAGCCCTTGTGTGACTGGTATCTCTGTTCTTCAGTCTGGTACATGTGTGGGAAGCCAGCATGGCATGCCTTCCCTTGCATAGCTTCCGTCCAGTGTTTTTCAGTGAACTTAAAAATGCAGATTTAGTGAACTATTTATATATAAAAGACTTGTTTAAGGTCTTTTATTCTCTGTCTCTCTCTGTCTCTCTTTCACATACTGAGCAATGAGGCCGTCAAAGCTTATATCCTTTAGTCTTTAAGTGTAATAATTATCAGAGTGTAATCAACAACTCCATTAATAACACTTTATTATACTGCTCATTTTATGCTCAAGTGTGGGCCAATGTACCTCAGGTATAGATAACACACACAGATGGCTCATCCTGGGAACTTTCCCAAAGACTCATCAATTTTCCAAGGAAGTATCACAAAGTGTGCAGGCCAAGATTCCTTAGAATTTACCTCAAAATCCTCACCTCGCTGTTTCCACAAATCCTGGGCTAGTAAGTCTTGACTCTCAGCCAATCCCAAACAAGCCCTTGTGTTCACAGATCCTTCTTGACCCATCCTTCCAGTTCTCCACAAACCTCGACCTTCCTTCTGCCCAAGAGATGGCACATACCCTCTGTCGGCTCACTTTTCTTGACCTGGAGTACAACATAGGCTCTGTCTCAGAGGTCTGGACATGTAACAATATCTAGGGTAATGTCAATGGTTTTGTTTTAGGTTGATTGCATTTCAATTAATTAAGAAATTGCATTAAAATAATACACTAGCTTTGCTTAATAGATAGCTGACCAATAACACAAGCCATATCTGGACCAGATGGAAATGGCAGGTCCCTTGTTTCCCTTCCAGACCTAGGTTGCCAGTTTCTGGAGCAGCTACTATCGATTCCTTGGCAATTTCTTCTGGCTTGTACCTTCAGTGATAATTCTTGGATTTTGGTTTCTTAGTTTCAGTATCCAACAGCTACATGTTATTATTTCTAAATGGAAACAAGTGAGAGGCGTAGCTTTCTATCCCATCCTCCCAACTCTCTGCTCCCATCAGATTTGCTGTCAGTTTTCTGTGGTTATGAGTGGAAAAATATTATTCTTGGCCTTCTTGAGTCATGCCTCCCAATGTCATTCTCTCCTGATTTCTGCCTCTCTGGTGGCTTTCTTTGTCTGGGTGACTCTTCCCACACCCCCCAGTAACTCTGTACAAAAGCCTTCAATCCGATTTTACACCCGGCCACACCTGTCAGTTAATCTGTCAGTCCCATTTTTTCAAGAGCTGTTCCTTCCAGGGCTACCCATCCTACTGCCCTACCTGGTCTCAACGCTGCCCACGCCTCCATCCCAGCTGTCCCTGGGTCCTCCCCATGCTGCTGTCTTGAGCAGGAGCTTTTCTCCACGGCTTTATGTCTCCACCGTTTCTTGTTTGTTCTTTTGATATGTTTTGGAGTAAGGGTCCTTTGAAGGCAAAGTTTTGATATCTTACATCCTTGACAAGAAGTCTTTACTATCCCGTTATGCTGGCTTGAGAAATTTGGCTGTTTATAAAATTCAAATGTTCAGTAATTTTCTCCAAAAATTGAAAAACAATGCCTTGCTTTCACTCGGCTCCCAGTGCGACTGAGAAGTCCCATGACTTACTGTTAATTCTGGATTTTTCTTGATGCCATAATTGCTTCGCTTTCATCCTCAGAAAATGTTGAGCTTTTCTCTCTATCCTGGGGACGTCCTTTGGTGTGCTTGGTTGTTTGTTCCTTCCTTTATGGATTCAGTGGCCCCTTGATTCAGAACACCAAAGTCCTCAGTGTCGGGATGATTTTCTTGTGCTGCTTCTTTGTCGATTTCCTTCTGTCCCAGTTTGCTGCCCCCACCTCAGAATGTCTATTAGTATAACAAATGGAACAATTCATTTAGTGCCTTTTAAACATTTTATAGAATTGTTTCGGGTTTTGTGTATGAAAATTCTCTTTCTTTCTTTCTTTGTTTTTTTGTTTTTTGTTTTTTGTTTTTTTCGACAGGGTTTCTCTGTGTAGCCCTGGCTGTGTTCCCTGGAACACACTCTGTAGACCAGGCTGGCCTCAAACACAGAAATCCGCCTGCCTCTGCCTCCCAAGTGCTGAGATTAAAGGCGTGCGCCAC